AGAAATACCGACACATGGATTACAGAAAGCTGATAGGCCAGGTAATATGTGACAATGTTGAATTTTCTGCAAGGAGGGCCTGAATGGCCATTGTGTAAAGCTGTGAAGGCTTCTGTGGAGCTTTCCTTGCAATAGAAGATCCAGGATTTTGAAGAAGCCAAGGTCGTGGAATGTCTGCCAAGGAAGGGAAAACAGTGGGACAGAACCAAGAAAGTCTACATGTGCCACACATAGGAAAGCTGGAGGTCTGGTGATTCCCATGACTGAGGGATCCCAGATTTCATCACAATCCCAAGGTTTCAAATAGGAACTACTTTTATTTTTGTAGAAAAGTCTACAGCTTTTTCTGTTGATTTTTGGTCCTTCTTTGGTCTGAACTTTCACTGCTATGCCTACTTTCCTACCTTTTGGAACATCAACGTTCTGTGCATTGCATATTGGAAACATGTACCTTTTAAATTATTTAATGGAGGCTCTCAATTAAGAGACTGTGCTGAATTGAAGAACAGTCTTTGGACATCTGAACAGTATTGGTACAATTAAAGACTCTGGAGGCTTTTGAATTTGGAATGAATGCATAAGGCATTATAAAATGACCATGAGTCTAAGGGGGTCATGGAAAAAATGTGATTTGAATGTTTTCAGCCCCCTTAGGCTCATGTTTTTGAACACTTGGTCCCTAGTGGATGGTACTGTTTTGAAAGGTTATGGAGTGTTTAAGAAGTGGAACCTTGCTGGAGGAAGTGAGCCCCTGTGCTGGCCCATGAGCTTTGATAGCTCTCTGCTTACTGAATGTGAATGCAATGACCAGCTGCCTCACACTCCTGCCACCATGCACTCCTCATCAAAATGAACTGTATCATTTCCTAATCTCTAAACAAAATAAACTCTTCCTTCCTTAAGCTTCTTCTTATCAAGTAATTGGTCACAGCAACCAGAAAGTAACCAACAGAGTGTGATCTACAGTGAAAACACAAGAATGATTCTGAATACACTATGTTGGCTGGGGAATGTTTTCAAGTCAGTTCAAACTTCCTGAATTGAATTTAAAAGATAATTATGGGCTCTTCTACCACCAACATTGATAACTAATTTTTACCTAGTATTTTTGTATTTTATATATTATTTTACTACTGTAAGGGATTATAGTAGTTCATATATATCACATTTGATTTTTCATTAACTATTCATCTTTTGTTGATGTACATATTGGTGTATCTTAAATTTAATGTAAACTACCCTGACATCTGGGAAAACAATGTGATGGACTGTGAGAGCTGTAGCAAGTCAACAAAATTATAAATCTTGAGCCCATCATGGTACTGATATTGTAAGAGGGACACTTGTCTATATTGTTTTGAATGCCAAGGTTCAAATATCTGTCTTATTGGTAATCTTCAAATCAAACCCTGAAAAGTTATTTGAGTGTAGATCATTTATTTGGGGGATAGATGCAGGAGACACTATAAAGGAATCCGAAAGAAAGCTAATCCACTATGTGTTATTGGACAAAATTACTACTACAGTAAATTGGAGTTCAACCTAACCCTGGAAACTCTGGTAAAAACAGAGAAAATAACTCAGAGAAGTTACACACCAGGGGCAAGAATATAGGAGTATCTTTAAGTTCCATTTGTTCATTGTTGATCCATAATTGGTCAAAAGTTGGTCCAAGAGACATTAACTACCTGACACTTCTATTCCAACTCTGCTTTTAAATCAAACATGCTCATGTCGTCACAGATACCACAAAGGAAGATTTATAGCTTTTGGCAGGAGCAGAAAGCCTTTCTTCCATCTGGAAAGAGCACCATGGGGAAATGGTAGAGAAAGCCCTTGCTTCAATATTCTTTGTGGCTCCTAAACAAAACGTGGGTCTTATATTTTTATTCACCATTCAGTTTTTTTCCTACTTGAATTTACCCCATTCCACTTTCCTTAGGACAAATAACAATTGGCATTGACATTTCAAATTTAAGACTTTTCTTTATAAGAAGGTAACACATAGTAAAAATTGAAACATGAAAACTCAGCAAGCATCACAATTTCAAGTATTTTTGAAATAATCCCAATGTGATAAATTAATAAAAGGTCTCATTGTTTCATCCTCACTTTCTTTTTGGACCAAGTAAAGCCAAATTCAAATGTATTCCATCAAGAGTATCTTAATTATTGGAGCTTGTCAGTTAGCAGAGCAACTATGATTCTCAAAGATCCAATATAGGATGCTATGATTAATTATTATGCATTATCATAAACACAAAAACAGAAAGGCAACTAGATCTGTAAATACATTCACGAAAAAGATACTCCTGAAGAGAAAATTTGGAAGATTTTAAGAGCTTTTGAGAAACATGTTCAGAAATTGCACATAGCCTTTGTCCTCCACTAAGCAGTGGGAAGAACAGACAGTGATGGTGAACATTCTACTCAAAACAAACAAACAAACAAACAAACAAACAAACAGAAACAACAACTTTACAGAGCAGAGGAATGGAATTTTAGCACGTTTTCACATCCCAGAAGAGACAGTTCAATGGTTCACTCCAGTCTATCCCAATTGCTCCAGACAATACTGATTGATTAATCTAATAAATGTGCTCCAAAAAGTCTGCTTAACACTATGTAAGGAAAACCACAATTAAATTTAAAGTAGTTCCTAAAGGCCAACGCTGGGCTAATATAGAGATTGCCAAACATTTTCTGTAATGAGCTACAGAAGAAATAGTTTCAGGTTTGCAACAATATGGCTTCTGTGTATTTAACTGCAAAAGTAACCATGGAAAATGTATAAATAATGATTGGGGATTGCTGGGATTTAATAAAATGTTTTCATAGACAATGCAGTGTGCATTTTTATATAATTTCTGTCACACAATAGTCATATTGATTTTTTTTCTTCCATTTAAATATATAACTTAATCTTAGTTTGTGGTTTGTATAAAAATTCATGGCAGGCTGTTTTATTTGTCTCACAGACCACAATTACAATTTGTGAAACCCTATCTTCAAATAGTTCCTTTTCTTTGAAGGAAATGAAATTTGTGTGCAAAAAGTTAGACAGCTACATATTCTTACTCATGGGATCCATGTGTATGGTTTGGCAGAGAGCCAAGTCATTTGTATAAAAATATCTTAAAGATGAATCATGTTGTCTATTTATTATGGTAGTCCACTGAACATATTCTGTTTTACTCTGATTAATGAGTCCACTTTCAAGGATCATCCACACATCAAAACAGGCTTTCTTGGGGCTGGAAAGATGGCTTATCAGTTAAGAATATTTACTGCTCTTGCAGAGGATCTGTGTTTGGTTCCTCAGTATCCACATGACAACTCACAACTACTTGTAACTCCAGTTCTAGGGATCTGATGTCATCTTTTGATTTTCACGCATGTGCCGGCAAGCACACATTATATATATCGCCTCTGTGCAAGTCTCTTGGGACATTTTCTTTATTGCTAATTGATACGGGAGAGCCTAAGCTACCATGGATGTTCCATCTCTAGGCAGAAGGGCCTGAGCTGTATAAGAATCTAGCTGAGCAAGCCAGTGGAAACAAGCAAATAAGCAAGGTTCGTCCTTGGTTTCTTCAATCTCCTTTCTTGAGGTCTTGCTTTGGCTGCTCTTGATGATGGACTGAGTATTAGTGTTTGCTATAGGAACAGAACCAATAGAATGAAGACATATATATTTATTAAATCTGCTTATGCTGAAATAGTAACAACACCTGACTCACACCTGAGAGCCCTAGAAGCTGGTAGTAGCTGTTTGGTCCTTAAGGCTAGGTACCTCAGCAGTCAGAGTAGCCCCACACTGGCTGTCTCACACAGAAGAGGCCAAATATCTACTGGCTGATCAGTCCCCAGGGCTGGATGTCTTAACAGTCTAAATTTCAATGAAGGCCTGGAAGTTTCCTGAGAGCCACTGGTACTAGGTCAAAGCTAGAAGCCTGAAAACGCTGATTTTGATATCAGTGAAGGAACCATCATCAGTAGCAATGGGATAAATTGATTTGATGGTTAGAAAGAAGGTCCAACAAACAAAAGGTGAATATTCTTCCTCCTGCCATGCCCATTTTTATCTGGGTTGCCACTACAAGGTATTGTCGACATTTTGGGTGAGTCTTCCAATATCAATTAAAGCAAATAAGGAAATTCCTCAATTGAGGCTCCCTACTCAGCAATAATAATTTGTAGTAAATTGATTTTAAAACCAACCATCATAGACTGTAACCTGCAAGAAGAAACAAACTCTTTCTTCACCAAGTTGCTTTAAGTCATGTTGTTTATCACAGAAACAGAAAAGCAAATTAGGACAAGGAACATAAAGGCTACATACACATAGTCTATCAATTTTAAGATTATTTATTAAAAAGCAGATAATATTCTAAATATCAAATATGAGAAATGGTAAATCCTTCAAGGCTATATGCTAAATTTATCATTAATCGTTTTGTCTCATAAGAAATAGCTACGTAACTTTTAATAGCAGCACTGGCATTTAAAATACCATTGCCATTAAGATCATGTTTTAGTCTTGCATTTTATAAATAAAGATATTTCGATACGTGCATTCAAAGTCCATTTTAAAAAACATACAATAGGAGCTAGAGTGATGTTTCAGTGGCTAAGATCACTGTTTGCTCTTGCAGGGGACCTGGGTTCAAGTCATATCACCCACATGGAGGCCCACAACCACTCATAACTCCAGTTCCAAAGGACCTGATGCCTTCTTCTGGCCTCCACGGGGTTTGTCAACATAGGTGCACTTATATACAAGCAGGGAAAACACTCACACACATAAGATAAAAATAAATTTAAAATAAGATAAGAACTATAACATAAAACTCAAAAATAGAATAAGTCAATATTTTAAAAGACAAGAAAATACAAGCCCATTATTATTAAACCCCTACCCCTTTGAAGTATTCCCAGGAATGAGATAGGAAACAAAATATTCAGTTGTACTTGAGACCAAGAAATGTTTTAGAAAAAAATTATTTATTCTTTTTCATCAAAGGAGCACCTTTAATGGTAGAAGATACTCCTGTGCTTCGGAGTTTAGCATTTTCACGGATGAAATTGTGTTGACTTGCTGGCATGTTGCCACATAGCTTGTTAGTAGTATCAATTTTAGCTTTTATGTTCGCCAATGATCTGGGTGATGGAGGTAACCCATTTATTTCATACAACCGGTATATTTCATTTGTCTGAAAATAAATAATAGAGGGAACAATATTATAAGAAATGTCCAGAGATCTACAAAAATTGAGGGAAACACCATTTTAATAATTTTTTTGTTCCATGTGGTAAAGCTGATGTGACGATAATGACAGTTAATGTGGAAATAAATGAAGTAATGTTCTTGGATTTATGAATCAAGAGCTATCCACTGACAAGAAAATCTCTCAGCTAAAGGTCTGCACTGCAGTTGAACTAAGCATCAGCTATTATAAAGAAGACTCTTCAGTAGACATGAGATCATTGCCTGGTATCAACTATAATTAACAGAACAATGCCTTCAAGATACACTTTTGCAAGAATGTCTGGCTACAGACATGACTAGTAAAATATAGTGATCTGATTTGTGGATCATAAAAGTATAAAAATTTAAAAATACACCAAGAGAGGCACAAGATCATTGAAAACAAGCATAATCTATTTCCAGGTCAATACAACTTACATAGGGATTTATTTAAAACCTTTTTCTTTTCTGCTTTTGCAAATAGGCGTAATTTCCCACGGCATGGTGAATTAGGCAGGCTCACATTTTCAACATGTTTGTATTCATAGTTCAACATACATATATGTTAAGTCCATTTATTCTGCAGAATTTCCATAAGCCATCTGCACATTTTTTCATTTATTTATTATTTATTTGTGTGTGTGTCGGTTTGTATGCACACATTGCTGTGTCCTATGCTGATCAGATTACAACATGAGGAAGTGAGCTCTCTCCTACCATGTGGCTCCAAGTCCTTCAAATCAAACTCAGACTGTTAGGCTTTGTGGCAAGAGTCTTTACTCACTGACCCATCTTACCACCTGTTTTTATATAGGCTTCCTCCTCACAAATAGGACCATATATACTAAGAGAATTATTTAAGGTAAGCCCTAGGACAAGTGAACATTGCAATTCCCCATGCTAGATGTGTAATTTGACACCTATAAGCAGATACCAAGCAAGAGTACACATTTCTTTTCCATAAAGTATGCCCTTATTTTAATCAGATCTGGTCCTTTTATCTGCTGTTGGTAAAAATATATGCATTCAGAGTCAATGAATCAATTATTCAAAAGTAGTGCAAACTGAGGAACATGATGTACTTGTGCTAAACATTTCACTTAGTATGAGTATGTTTGAAACCAGAAAAACAAAGCTTGATTTTGGAGCTGCTGCACAAGTCATGTTAACTTTCTTCCCACTATATGTGAACCACTTCATGGACAGAAATGAGGGTGGTAACAAAGGAAGAGGCCTGTGCTGCCCTGGAAATTGGTACTGATACATGAACATTATAGCAGCATGTAGTTGAATTCACATGAGTGGGCTACAGGAAGGGATTTCCACACACATCCAGCACCTAGCGACTACAAGGAGGAGCTACATGGGACTTGTATCTTCACTAGCTATTTACAACCAAGACTTTGGGAAAATGTTTACAGAAAAATACATCCCTGTTAAAGTCTTAATTATGTTTCATACAGTTCAATAAAGATTGTAATAATTTTACAATGACTGATGTAGTGTTTCCATGTGTATTTAAAGGAAACTATTCAGGACATTTTTCTAAATAAGATAAATAATAATAATAAACTTATTTTATAAAATAAAGATTAAGCTTTGCAGTTTTACTTATGGCTATAATTCTTCAATCCAAATGTAAATTTTGAACTACCCATTTTCAAAAGTATTTTGCAGATATAACTCAATATCTTCTACCCCCAATACTCTATTTTAAACATAAATAAAAAGCTGAAATAAAAATCATAAAAGAATAAATTATTACATTTATTTAATGTGTGTGTGTGTGTCTGTGTCTGTGTCTGTGTGTGCGTGTGCGCTCATGAATGCTCATGTGTGCCACAGTGTGCATGTTGAGGTATGAAGGCAAGGTGATAAAACCAGCGCTCTCCTTCCCCCATGCAGATTCTTAGAAAGGGACTGAACTTAGGTCTTCCCATGTCTTGGTAGCAAGTGCCTTCCTCTGCTGAGCTGACTCACTAGCCAAGAAGAAATTAATAGACCCATATCACTAATTCCTTATGGAATCAGTAGTTGTTTTATAAAACAATGTCAAATTAACCATAATACGTCTCTGGATTATTTACTAAAATACAGTGCTTTAAGCAGATGAAATATCCATATTTTGTGTCACTGTTTTGAAAAGAAATCAGCCAAAGCCAATGGCATCATGGATTGAATGACTAAAGATATTTTGTTGAGGGCACATTTCTATGAATGGAAACAACTGATAGTTAGCAATTCACAGATGTCGTCTGGGGAGACCCACATCCCTTACTTGTTCCCATATGAAAGTCTGATCCGGTCTCCAATAGCTAGTATTTACAAGTCCTATTAAAATATTTTATTTATTATTTTTATTTTATATGTATGAGTGTATTGCCTGCATGTATGTAAATGCACCAGTGTCATGCAATGCCCAAGGAGGTCAGAAGAGGGCAACAGATTCTTCTGGAAATGGAGTTACAGACATTTGTTAGCTGCCATGTGGGTGCTTTCAATCCCTGAGCCATCTCTCTAGCCCCAGTATTTATAACACTTTCCTGGTGCCTTTTTTTCTTTTCAGTTTAGAAACTTCAATAGGTTTCTCTACTACTGTTGGATTTGTAACAGCCCCTGAGAGCATTCCTCATTCAATGATTAGAATGGTGTCA